CAAGTTTTGCTGTGGTATAGAGCCTATGACTTCACTGGGTTAACTGCTGCTACTTCCGTGTAATTGAGAACATAATTTGGCTCAAACCCTGGGAGGCTGAAAAGGATCACAGCAGCCACTGTATTAAGCCAATGTTCAAGACAGTTGGCTCACACTGAATTTCATAAGCAGATAGTGTATTCAGAAGGCTTTAGCTGTATGACACAGTCCACTGCAAAAGAAGAGATGGTGAGAGTATCTCTTTGTTTATTTTAACTATAAATGGCACGCCGGGAAAAGCTATCAAACGTGGTATTGCCCCTGCATGGGGGGCAATGTGGCGGAACGGATCAAGTATCTCTCCCTGTGGGTGCATGAGGACAAACGTGGCGAGAGCTGTGTGAAGGCTGCCCTCGGTTATCCTAGCTCCCATCAGTCACACCAGGAGCCGGCAGCAGTGGGTCTTTGTCCTGGCCGTGCTGCGGTAGAGGTGGTGCTGGTGTCAGCAGCCAACACACCTCCATTGTGTCTCCTGGGGGGTGATGGCACCTCACTGGCACCGCTGGGGCCGTGTGTGAGGAGGCCAGGTAGAGATGGACTTAAAATGAAGGAGAGGATAGACATCAGTCTGAGAAAGCGCAAAATATTCACAGAAGCAGAACGGCTGCTGGAGGCCTCCTTTGGAAATCCCTTCCTGCCGCTCCATGGGGCTGCCAGGCATGAAGGTGGCATTCAGCGACCACGGTGGCTTCTGGAGGATTAGACTTGTGTCACGTCACCAGTGGCACCTGCCCTCTGCCAGAGAGGCTCACTCTTGTGCTGGTATTTAGTCTTTGAGGAGAGGTGGCCAAAATTGGTGATTCATGTTTCACAGAAAAGCTTTGGGGGAAGAAATCTGTGTTCTGCTCTGTCAAGGGGAGGGGAGGCGAAGGGGGTTTCCTGATGAAAGAAAAATCCTGAAGAAGGAAATAATGCCTTTTCAAGAAGAGGGTGATCGGGGGGATCTCTCTGATGAGTATCTGACTATTCCCAAGTTTGCTGGCAGTCCCTCTCAGGCTGATGCCCTCCAAAAGAGACAGGCATTTTGGGACAGCACTTTCAACCATTCCTCGAGCACTTAGCGGGAGGGATTGTTTTATTAGGAAAGTTTACGGCTTCTTGTTTTCCCTCAAAGGCAAATGTGTTGTTTTTAATTCTGTTGGGATTTCTCCCTTTTAATATACAACACAGCTGTTAAAATAGCTGGGGTTGTCTAGGGCAAATCATATAGCACTTTCCTTGTTCAGATCTCAGATGGCTGCCTTTTTAGTGTCGCTGCAGAATTATATTACAGGGCATATGAATAGTGCTGGTATTAGTGTCAAAATCAATTACCCAACCCTCCTCCTGCAGAGAAAGCTACAAACCTTAGGAACAATCTGAGTAATCCATTCTGGGTTTCTAATTCTGAGTAATGACGGAGGGCAGAGACTTGTGCTTGAGTAAGTGCACAGGGTCTTTCTCCGTATAGTCACTCCTAAATGCATGCTCTTTACAGGAAAAAGCAGGCTCCCTGTGAAACCCTTTTTCATGCCAAATGGCTCGCTGCTAAGATTAATCTGTCATTGAATTTATAAATTCTGTGTGGCACAGAGCAGCGGAAAAAGTTTAGCATTGAACAGAAAGCAAACTATGTATTGCTTAAAAAATGAATGTAGTGCTCCTGGATGGTGTGGATTGACTGCCTCCATCAATATATCTTCTTATACTGGTAATAAAAATACTTCCATAGCCTTGTGCCTCCGAGGATCTCAAAGCACTTTGCAAATAGGGCAAAGTGCTATTTCCTATTTTATGGCTGCGGAAACCGGCTGCGAGAGAGGTTAAGCTTTTTGCCCAGGGACACAGAGGAGACTGTAACAGAGCTAAGATGGGAACCTAAATCTCCAGAGCTTCAGCGCTGTGTCCTGGTCACACACCACACCAAAGTGTGATGGGGGGAGTCTGCTGGTCACTGCCTCTCAGCCATCATCCATGAAACCTCAGGAGATGGGATATGAAATTGGTGTTGGTGCTCCTTCGCTCCGTGGTCTCTGTCCCGGTCTGTGGGTGGAGGTGCTGAGCAGGGCAGGATCCAGCCAGGGAGGATGCCTGTGTCCTCCTGGGCTGCGCTGGTCAGGTCTGGTCGTGGGTGGCTGTGGAAGGAGAATGACTTTTGGTTGCTGTTGACTTGGGGAAAAGCTCGGAGCCTCACATCCAGCCTACCCTGCCCCAAGCACCTTTACAAAGTAAAAATAATTATAAACTTGTTACACTAAAGCCTGTAAGATTAGAGTAGTTGCATTCTTTTTTTTTTTCTAATCCAGTATTTGAGAAGGATTTACCTCTTTAATACAACCATTTATTAAACACTTGTTTGTTTTTTTTTTTTTAATTCATAATTCATTTGAAAAGAAAGCGTACAGCTACAAAGGCCAGTTTTTCAAATACAGGCCTGGTCTCTTGTCAAATTCCGGTTGGATAAATGACACATCTGAAAAACGGGGTCCCTCCTGAGGTGTCTGTGGCAGGGATTTAGAGATCTCATTTCAGGCACCTCTCTGGAAAAAAGCATGGCTCTAACCTGCATGTTTCACAGGAGAACGATTTCTATTACTAGTTTCTTCCTTCCCCTCCCTGGCTGCTATGCTTTGCAGCCTGCAGCCCCCCAAGGATGCTTCCCCCATGCATGAGGCTGCCCCAAGGGTCAGCGTAACCGGGGAGGGGGGAGGCTGGGAGGGGTGCAAGGGCGAGCGTCTGGTTTCAAACAAAAGTGCAAAGCCTTGAAAGGAGGGACTAAGAAGAAACAGGTGGGGGGCTAGTAATATAGTCTCTGAAGTTTATTTGCTTAACGAACAGAAGCCCAGGCTGTCAGACCTAGGTCAAATACTCCTCCGGTTTGAATGTATTTATTTCATACGTGGTCTGTAACCCAACCTGATTTCTGGATTAAACCGCTGTAAAGTCCTGGCCCCCAGGAACCTATCCCATGTTTGCCATCAAGCCCAGCACATGCTGGGGCAGGACCTCAGGGGGGGCCACCTCAGTATTCACTGGAGCCTTGTGTCATCAGTAAACCCTGTAATTGTGGGTCCTGTCATTTCCAATGCAAGCTTCGCTGTTTACAGCTGCAAATCGTGACCGCAGATCCATCACTTAGTGGTCCCATTAATGCGAGCCATGCCTGAAGGCTCCCAGGATAAGCTGCTTGGGCTGCAGCACACAGCTGCTCGGTAGGCCACCATCCTGCTGCAGCCCAGGCGGTGGTGGCAATGCTGGAGGACCACATCCACCATGTGCCAGGTCCCTCTGAGGTGCCAGCAAGGGTGGCTTTGTACTTACAGGAAAGTTTTGAAGTAGCCGTTGAGTGGAGGAGAAAGATTTAGGATAGCTTGTCTTGAACGGTAGTGCAACATGGAGGATCTCCAACAGTGGGTGCGAGGGAGTCTGGGCGCCTGGGGCTGCGTGCTAAGCCGTGGAGCTTATCATGTAGTGGGGAAAGGGGGGTTTCGCTTTCCTGCTTGTCTGTCCTGAAGTTACAGCACAAAACTGCTTGAAAACCAGCAAAATAGCGAGAGGAAAAACCCCAGCCACAAAATGAAGTGCTTATGCCAGAGTCACAGACAACTAAAGGGTAAGAGTTACAGATCACACATGGGAGTTCCTGAAATCTTCATGTGCTTTAAAGTTTTTAGGAGTGTTAACTTTTTAATCCAAGATGTTCAGGAGTCAGTTAATCCTCCAGAGTGAAGGGAGGGAAGTTTGAGCTGGCACAATGGCAGTAAAACTACCTGCACACAAAAAACAGTTTTCTGGTTTCCCAGACATTTTTTGGGTGATCCCATTATTCCTATAAGATAAACAACCCATGTGCTCCAGAGTATCTCAGGAGCTGAAAAAATATGCATATGAAAATTTACATGTGAAAAATTGCAGATCTGCATTAAAATTAAAAAGGAAAGGAGGAATTAGCAGTGGGTTTTCCCAAGACCAGCCTGAGGCCGGTAGTGCCGGGTAACTGTTTGGGTTCTGTGAAAACAGGAGTCATGTGGAGACATTTGAAATAAAGCAAGTTAAAACGGGGCAAACCAAAGTATCTGCAGTCAGAAAATAAGCATGCCTCCTCATTTAAGAGAAGCCCCATCTTTACATTAAATTTGGGATACATATATGTTTGCTTTTGGGAGACGAGATATATTTGAGTCATGCAGAACAAACAATGAAGCTAACAAAAAGTTTAGGAGCTGTTATTTTTCATGGACTTAATTTAAAAAAAACAGGTTCTTTGTGCTTTGGTATCTTCTTGTTTCATGGAGCTTTCACTGGCACTTAATTCACCATTTGTAATGGGGGTAAAACTGTAGCTGATTTTCAGATGTGACCAGTCAGGATAGAAGAACTTGCTTGAGAGAGTCAGGAATCAGTGGATGTTAGTCCTCACCAGTGAGAGCTGGATGGGCTCTGGCAGACCTGCTGTGGCTTATCCGTAAGCACCATTGAAACGTTCTGGTCAGGGCACTGGTTCAGAACCAGCGCATACAATAAGCACCAACTGGGGAGAAAAAAAAAACAACACCTTAAATGTATTTTTATTAAAAGTTTTTAGCTGACTCAGATTATGATGGGCTAGGTCACGTATAGGATGGACAGATTGGTTTTATACATGCTAAATTTTTGCGTCTCACCTGTCCTTTAATTCTGGAAAGCCCTTTGGACCGGTCAGCTTTATTATCCAGCCCAAGTTTAAGTGGGGGAAAAAATGTATTTTGGTCCTGATCCTTTTAAGTCTTCAACTGCCTGAAGGCAGCGGGGTGTGAGAATACCCATCCCTTTGCGGGGTTGTGCCCTTTCTGCCTGTACTGGCTGCGCTGCTAGATTTAGAAACCCAGGAAATCCCAGTTTACCTTTGAGCTCTGCCGAACCACCGGCTGCTTCCTCGTGGAGCTGATTTTGCCTGTTTTGTGAGTGGTGACTAGAATCTGGTTTTGTTTTATGTCCTGTAGGGTTGCTGAGCTGGAAGATGCACGTTTAAGATGGAAACTTCTGCTTCAACTGCTGCTGGGAAAAAAGAAGGAAAAGGTGCAGTTCTGGAGGGGAATGGCTTTACGGAGACGGAGAAGAAACCCACTCCTTTAGCAGCTGCAGGAGCAGCAGTGGCACAAGGAGGTACTTTATGTTTTCCACACTTTGAAAGCAGCAGGGGTGTTTTTCATTAGACTGTAAGAATTTAATAACTATGGTGGCATCTGTCCTGCTGTGAACACGCTGAGTTTATTGGGGTTCTCGGCTGTCGGAGGTCACAGGAGTGGGAAGCTGTGTCACTGCGTGGCATCCAAACATCACTGCACCATGATAAGTCACCGCTGCTCCTAGAGAACTGGATTGGGGTGAGGGAGAGGATGGGTGGTGAGAGGTGGCCGTCGGAGAGTTGAGGCATCCCGTCACTGCTTGCCACTGGCCGACCGGTGCTGTGTGGTGTAGGCAGCATGGTGCCTGCTGCTCCTCCATGGAGGAGTTAAAGGGTGGCTGGCGAGGCTGGCTGGAGCTGGGGGAGCGCCCTGTTATCATGGTTGGGGAGGGGTGTTGTGCGCTGGCTGTGATCCTGCTAATGAGCTAAACAGACTGCACTGTCTTCAGCCATTGCTGCTGGGATTTCATGGTTAGGGAGGAATTCGGGATTGTCCAGCCCCAATGCAAGAATGTTCATAAAGAACCCCCCCCATTTGTACCGTTCCTCTTAGTGTCAGAAATAGCTCAGGTCCTGATTTCTTTTTCTGTCAGCGTTTTTGGGACGATTTTGGTCGTGCTGGTTTTGAAGTCAATTGGGAAGCTCTCGTGGACCCCCACGGGCATGGGGTCATTTTTGGCAGGTGTAACACCGGTGTGCTGGGGGACGTGCAGGTGTGTTGCTCCTGCCTCCTCTCGCCCACTACAGCAGGCAAAATACAGCCCCAGAAACACACATCCCTCACTGGCACACATGTGCTGGTGGATCTCCAAATTGGTGCCAGGGCTTGCCCACCTTCGTGGTGGCTCCAGCTGTGAGCAAGGCTGTGCCCGCCAGGGAGGCACCACACTGCCCTTGGTGGGGACTGGGACTGAGTGTCCTTTCTGGACAGGGCGTAAGGAGACAAACTTAGAAGGGGCTGCACCAGCTTGGATGTGACAAGAGACATCCCAGCTGTGTAAACTTTGCAGGCAGCTTTTTTTCCCTCTTTAAAATATACCTTATTGCTAGCCAGAGTCTACCTCAAAATGAACCCTTCCCCTCCCCTTCCTTCACTGCAGGGTGGTTTCTCATCACCCCAGGAGAGCAGCATGTCTCCTCTGCGGGCTCCTCTGTTTCTTACACAGCTCGGCTGGAGAGTTTGTTTTCTGTTGGCTGAGTTTTGAAGATAGTTCCCAGCCCAAATTGCTTAAATCTGCTTCATCTATCCTTCCTTTTCAACACATTTGTTACTCAGTTTTCATTTCCACATTGACCCGGGAAGATTCAGATGTACAGAATAAGGCAGCAGCTACTAGATTATAATCTATCAGATTAGTTCATGTGTTTGATAAATTTTGTTAGTCTTTGTTAGCCAAAGGAATGTTTTTCTTAAAAAGAACTAGAAGATCTTTTACACAGAATTGTTTGGAGCGAAACACAATTTCATGCTGCTGAATGGGTTTGAGCCACCTTCCTTGTGAGCACTGTGCAAAATGGCAGAAAGGAAGGCTCGTCGGGCAGCAGAAATAGGGGAAAGGCAAAGACAGCAACATGCAGAAGTTTGCCATCCTCCAGCAGATTTTGATCCCTGTTGAAGAAGCACAGGCTGTAGGAACCTTGAGGCCGCCCACTGGAGGCATCATCTCAGTGACTGGCAGATCCAAAGGGCTGATTGGCACCAACAAAGACCAAGCATGTGCTAAAATTCAAAACCCACAGACATGCTGTTGTGAATAAACACCTTCTCCCCACTTGGCACTTGCCTTGGGAGTGCCTCCGCCGAGGAAGCAGTCACTGCATTTCCAGAGATGCGATGGAAATGATGATGCCCCCGAGGTGGAGCATCCATCGGCCCATTTGGCACCCCCGGAGACTTGATTGGTTTTTAAGCGTCCGGTATTACATGTCCCGTTAGCAGTTCTGCTCTCGCCTTTGGAAAGAATGATTTACAGGCTCAATATTTCTCCTTTTATTAAGAGGAAGTGGAGAAGTAAGTGAAGGATTGTTTGAAGATGTCAGGAGAATCGTGATGAAAGCATTGTGTAATGAGATGTAAAGAGCGAAATCTATGTCATGCTGTGAAGAGAAGTGCTCATAAATGACCTAAAATGGCTAGCAGCAAAGAGGTGTGCGATCGGACACCGGCCCCGGGACTCTGCAGGTAATGCACGTGCTCTTGTGGTTTGGAGGGCTTTCCTTTGAATTCTGGCTAGATATAATACATGCTCCTGAAAGGGAGCAGCGTGGTGTGTGTACTTATAAGTAGAAAAATTAATACAAAGTCATCTTATAACATCAGTTAATTGCAAGGTGTGATTTAGCAGATAATAACAAAAAGGCTGGGTAGCGATTAAACTGTACTTACATGGTATTCATGCTAATGTAACATATTTGCTTCACTAAACTAGTGTAATTACTTATAGCAGGCCAGAAATATACATATTTATGCTCATATTCTTACAGAAGAAAGCAAACGAGGCATGGAGATTAATTACACTGTTCAGCGTGAGGAGGGGAGGGCCTCCGAGCTCCCCACCCTGCTTTGGGGCCATACGAAGAAGTCTTTATTCTCATCCAAGACAAACTCTTGATTTTATTTATTGTAGAAGTTTTATTCTTTGTACTAGCATGTGAGAAAGTGGCAGCAAGGCTCATCTAGTGCTGCAGATCACCAAGCTGCTCTCCAGCGCCAAACAAACATAATTTGCAACACATTTCTTCTCCTTTATTCTACTGAGTCACACAGATGGAGTGCCAACATAGCATGTTTCTCAGATCATAAGGTTTTCTTTTTCCCTTGTAGAAACGAATAGATTCATAAGGTTTTATTTATAATTAAGGCAATTGAAGCAATAAACTGAATATTAGTTAAATAATTGAGTAATAGCTATTTTATTATATTATTATTTAGACTATATTATTATAAGGTAATAATATGTCCAGTTTCCATTTCTAGTTCCCTTGCTTTGGATATTTGTCCCAAATGTTTGCAGCCTTGAGCAAATTAAGTTATGGCTGTAGGAGAAGAGATGGGTATTGTTGATGCTGTAAGTGGAGAAGAGGCCTTTCATACTAACAATCTGCATCTCATATTTTTAGTCTACTGAAGCTGCCATTTTAGAGATCTTCTGTGACAATCTTTTATAGTAACTCATTGATCAGATGTTCAGAAATTGGCCTCGCAGAAATGACATCAGGGAAGTCTCTCCTAATTTTCTGTTATTCCATAAATCATGCCGGCCAAGAAGCTCCTCTCTTCTGTTTCAATAGGTGCGCGTGTGTGTGTGACAGAGATGGAAGCCAGTTTTAATGACAGTATGTAGGAGCTTTAGACAGTCAGACCTGCAGAAGAGCCTCTCACTTTCAGTGCCTCCACTTCTGGAAGGGCGACTCATAACACTTCATGTTTAGAAAAGCCTTTTGCTGAGTTCAAAAGTGCATATCGCTGCATAGGGCGAGAGGCTTTGGAGCAGAGCACCACGTGAGTGAGACTGGGTCGGGTCCTCCAGGCTAGCACTGCGACATCCTCCGTGTCAGCACGCACGAGGAAGCCCAGGAGCATGGCTGGAGGAGAAATTTAAATGAGCCACTCTTTGAAAGGCAGAGATATTTAGGAAGATGGGTTTCTCATCTTGTAATAAAAATTAAATACAAATTCTCCTAAATGCTAACTGCCTGACTTTAACAAGGCCCAGAATGCACCTTTCCCTCTCCACCCCACCCTCAGCATGACACAAACACCAAGTTCCCAAATTGATGGTGTTTATGTTTGAAACATTTTTCTGATGTCTGGCTCTGTCAAGACTAATTTTAGCATTTCTAAAGCTGGGTAAAAATACAGCCTCATTACTTTGATGTCAGAGCATAGTTTACTATTAGTATATTCTGGGGTTTATCATTTTAGTCATGTTTAACACGGCTGCAGCAGGCATGCACTATTAAATCTGGCTTATTTTACATTCCTGTCCGAGATTATTTATTTGGAACAATTTCCTCTCTATCAAAAGACACGGCTAATGCTGAGTTTTAATGTGTTATTTACACACAAAATAACCTATTTACAACTCAGTATCTGCCGCAGGGAGAATGAATGGGGCAGTGCTCCCTTCATCCTGTTGTATCTGAGTTTAACAATCTGGATTGCTAATAGAACCATTTATCACGGGGTGGTAATTTATTTTATGTTAGCTGCACAGGTCTCCCTGCCTCTGATCTATGGAAATACTTTGTATATAATGAAGTTCAACAAGTCATTTGGTGTAAACATGGGGAAACCAAGCTGCAGAACCAGTAAGACTCTGGCTACACTTTTTTTCCAGGAGGTAACGACTCTCCTCTGATATTAAGGCTTCAGTTGATGAAATACAGCTCTTCGCCCCGCGTGTGCTGTAAGGGCAGAGTATGGGGCTTTTCTGCAGTGGAACAGAGATTGGGATGGAGTTTGGTCACTTGATTTATGGGCTGGAGGGAATGCTCAGTGCTGCAGAAGTAGCACACTCAGCCCTTTCATAGGCAGAGAAGGGCAGGGAGCACCTCCCATCGCTCTCCAGAGGTCTTCTATAAGCAAGCCCTGAGTGGCGCTGGCAGGGAGTCCTTGTGCAGTTCAGCTTGTCTCAGTGCTGGATTATGGGAAGACCATGTAAATGAGGAGGAGGAAATACCAGCATCCCAGCAGACCTCAGCGCATTGAAAAAATATATAGTTTGTGTGGCCTGAGACTCAGACAAATTAGGAGAACAGCCCCTATGAAGTCATCTCCTCTGTCCACGCAGGAGGGGCAGGGATCTTCTCCAAAGAATGTTTTTCATTCAGTTGTTCACATTTTCCAGGAAAAGGAATATAACCAGTACAAGCACATTCTTAGCTTCCCTGCCCTGTATTGCTTTGCTGTATACAACTTAAAACTTTGAGATACGCAGTTAACAGAAAAGTCTGGGTTGGCTGCGGGAGGGAAGGG